GCGGACCCTACAATTGCCCCAGCTTACTACACCTTGACAGAGTTACCAAGACACAGCACACGGAGATACGGGGAGACTGGCAGATTTCCTGAGGTGAGCACATGAGTTCCGTGGTAGAGGGCATGGAGAGTCCAGGGAGACCAAGTCAGTTAGAGTTCACTAGACAGAGCACCCCCCCAAAAAAAGTTGTACAGAGAGAGAAGCCCAGAGATATTCAGAGGGTTCTGTTTGAATATTCAGCAAGTAAGTGAATAGTGCATGTGTGTGAGACAACTACCAAGGCTGGGGGAAAAGCCTCCAAAAGGGTTTCAGAGCAGCGTCCAGCACTCACACAGGGCTGGGAGCAGTGCCTGTTCCCACCAACCAGACTGGAAATCATATTTCATAGGCGATGTAGTAGAGTACTCAGAAGGACTTTTGCCTCAGTCATGGGAAATAATCAGTCCAAGACTAAACAGTGCTCTGATCCCATCTAACAAATCTGAAAAGACTTCAACAGATCAAACTATTGCCTAGTAACTGTACTCCAAAACAAACCTCAAGATTATTTATAGAAATATAAAAATATCCAGCACACAGCAAGGTGAAATTCACAATATCTGGTATCTAATCAAAAATTATCAGGCATGCAGAAAGCAGGGAAATAACAGACCCATAATGATGAGGAAAAACAAACCTACTGAAACCAACTTAGAATGACATAAATGTTAGGAAACGTTAATATAGTTATTACAATTGTACACCATGTGGTCAAATAGCTAGAAGAAACATTTAACATGTTAAGGAAAGACAATTTTTTAAAAAGTTAAACATACAGCTACCATTTGATCCAGCCATTCCACTCCTTAAGTATCTGCCTACCAGAAATAAAAACATAAAGCCATAAAATCTTGTACATAAACACATCAGCTTTATTTGTAACAGTCAAAAACTAGAAACAGGGGCTGCCCAGTTATCTCACTCAGTTAGAGCATAGTGTTCTAACACCAAAGTCAAGGGTTCAGATCCCCACACTGGCCAGCCACCAAAAAAAAAAAACCAACCAACCTAGAAACAAACCAAATATCCATCAACAGGTGAATGAATAACAAATTATGATATATCCATATAATTGTGAATAGTACTCAGTGATTAAAAGGCTCAGTGATTAAAGGAATAAATTATTATACATGCAAGAACATAAGTGAATCTAAAAATAATTGTGATGCATGAAAGAAGTCAAACCCCCACCCCTCAAAAAGAGTACTCTATATGATTCCATTTATATAAAATTCCTAGGCCACAATAATCAACCACATTGTACA